TTGTCCAGTATTAAAGCCAGTTGACATATTAATATTTCCTCTAGTATTTCTAACAGGATTATTCATATTCTTAGTGAACATACATATTCCTAATATTTAAATTATCCACAGTATGAGTAGGGTCCTCTTAGCAGATTATTACAATTTCTGAAAATATGTCTTTTTTGGTAACAGCTATGACAAGTAATCCCTGTATTAGACCTATTGGTCGAATTATATCAATTATTTCTATTATTATTCTGACTTTCTGAATTATATCTTTGCCTACACTCCCTAGCAATATGATCAGGTCGTCTACAATTATAACAACTTTGGTTATTTCGATTACTATTATTGTTATTGCTATTATTATTCCTCCAGTTATTATTTGTATTTGCTGGGTGTAGGCTAATATTTTGAGCACGTAGCGTAGTATTTGAAGTAGTTAACAATTGCTTAAATTCTTTTATTAGTTTGTCATTATTTAGATCAATAAGTTGTTTAATATCAGGAGTAGCAGTGAAATTTTTAACAGCGTCATCATCCTTTTGATTCAGATATGCCTTGCTCAAAGAATACCTAGAAAGTGTACTATCCTTAGACAAGACTGCTTCAATAGCTCGCACTCATTCAATTGCTTTCTCTAAGTCATGGGATGTAGCAGCAGTAATAGCAGTATAAAATTCTGGGAGAAGCTCCTGTAAAAATTGCTCAATTTTTTCATCTTCTGGTATATTATAGTCAGGTTCTAATTTAAGGTATAATGATTCAACATCGGCAGCGTAATCTTCAATTGACTATCTAGAATATTGTTTATATCATCTAAATGCTGAATGCTATTGTGTTATCTGATGAGTTGTACAATAATGTTTTAAGAAGTGATAGATAAAAGAGCAATGCTTATGCTATCAATCAGCTGAGTTATCCCAGTATCGCAAATCTTTTTCATTCTTAATTTTATTATACTAAGTAAGAGTTGATTCTTTTAGAAATGATAGGATTAATGTAAGACGTTGTCAGTCTAAAATTCTATTCGCATCTCTAGAATTATTATATTGCTTTAACCAATCACGAGAATCCTGGTCTCCTCTTTTAAAAGTTGGTAAATCTACAAATTTTGCTTCCTGTTATCCTCCAAATCTAACAGTTTTAAAGACAGTTTGTAATCCTTTCATCATCTGAAAGAAGTTTCGTTCGTCTTGATCATTCGTACTATTTTCATCAAATGGGTTCTCATTCTCATCATCATCAAAATCATGACTACTTGAGTCAGAACTAGAAGAAGATGAAGAACTATCATAGTAGGATATAGAATGACAGCTCTTCAGTTTACTAGTTCTTTTGTCCTTTGACTTTTTATCTTTATGTTAGTCTCAAAAATGATTAGTTTTTGGTCTAAAGGGGTATGAGAAGCAAATGTTCTTTTGATCAGAAGTGGTGTCTTTCTCATCAGAAGATTTCGTATAAGTCAGTTTAGGTGGCTTTCCAGTTCCTCCGTAAGAGCTAAAGGTAAAATTGTCAAAGCTTAAAGTTCGTTTATCAGGGTTTCTTCCACTTGGGGTAGTGTTCACAATGATAGTTTTGTCAGGTAGATAACCTTCCTGTGAAGGTAAATCTTCTTTTGCTGATTCTGATGTAGCACTATTTTTGCAGATTATCTGAGATTTATTCATTCTAGATAGAGAGAAGTTATGACTTATACTTAAGAGAGATATATTGAGGTGATTGAGTAAGTCACCTTAATATTTCTTTTAGAATGATTTAGTTTCAGTTCAAGCTCGAATACAGTATTCAATAGCTTGCTCAAAGGTTAGTATTAATATTTACTTATATCTTAAAGTTTTAAGTATCTGCCTTTAATATATTTTTTGTATATCAGTAGTTTCTGCAGAGACTGCAGTTTGAAGGGCTTCTAAACTTTTGCTAATATATAATAGTGCTCCTAAGACTTTCTGTACCCACTCAAAGAAATTGAGAAAAAATTGAAGAATTTCCTTCAGAAGTAGGTTACAAGCAATGTAGGATGGGTTGTCAGTTAAGGTGGAATTAGCAGTTTTCCTAAAGTTATGCTCTGATTTATTGTGTATAGCTAAATGGTTTTATTGATACTTAATTAATTTTCTAAAGTTGTTTATGAGGTATGTCACATGGATTATTATTGTGCTAATTAAAAAAAGATGGTCCTGTCGTTGTTATCAAATATTAACGTGTAATTCTTATAAACTATGACTATTAGACAAGATATTCGAGTGGTTTATTCTTTTTAATTACACAGTAATCTTTCAACAGTTTGCCAGTTTTAATTCAGACGGTCTATCAAAAATGTTTAGACTTATTATAACATACAGTGATTTAACAGATTGTCAGTAGTTATATTTGTAAGATAATGTGTTTATTCATGAGTAAAATAATAAAATAAAAGAGAAGAATTAAAGAAAATAAAATAAGAAAGAAAAGAAATGAATTACTGAAATTAAAATGTAATACGATAGGTCAGTTGCCTCTAAAACTACTAAAACTAACTTGTCGAGTTCCTGTCTGTCTCCCTTTTTACATAAACCAAAAAGCTATCTATTTATATAAAATAAATTACATATAAAAATATAATTAACATGTCAACTATGTCAACTATGTCTAATATATCAACTATATCTAATATATCAACTATGTCTAATATGTCAGTTATGCCACATATGTCTGACATATCACATATATCACTTATGTCAAATTAGTCAATCTTTTGCGCTACATAAGCTGCGTCACATTTACCCATTCACTATAGATTTTATTAGTTTAATTATCTTTATTTCAGATCTTGACCATCTTTAAGATTTAATTTGTTATATGATCATGCTACTACAGAAAAAGACCTATTAAGCAAAACAAAAATCAGGAAATAAAAAAGAATATGCATCTGATAAAATATTAGTATTAAGCAAAATACATGATTTTATAAGATATATAATCAGTGAAAAATTAAGATGTTTGTTTAGTCAAAAATGTTAAAGGAGAATAAACAACTTAGCATATAACTTGCATTTGAAAATTATTCCTATGTATGTGGATTTCCTATTCTTTCTGAAGATCATCCGCTCTATAATATCCTTTTTGTTAGAATTAACCAGACATATTATGATCATATAGAACAAATATACTATTCATGTAAGATTCAACATTTACTAATTTATTATTATTGTGAAGAAGCTGATGAATTGATAGAGCCTAATGAAAAGAGTAAAAGTGAATATTAAGCCATCTATCTATTATACAATTCCTGCCAAAATAAGGGATTACAAAGAGTAAAATGTTTACTAAAAAACGAAAGATTGCTAGCAAATGAATTATAATAGTATTATTATCCTTTAATAAAAGCCTTTTCCCCCCTAAGGAAATATATATTTGCCATTTATGAAAAAAATGATATAAAAAAAAATATATTTTCACCTTTTTTAAAAATTGCCGTAAAGTGTAAAATCACAAAAAAAATTTTTAAGCCTCTTCCTCTCACCTGCTTCTTTTAGGAAAATTAATGTTAAACAGAATTTTAATTTGTAGCGGCCTTATTAAAAGACTTCAGGCATCAATCAATCATTTTAATTCAAAATAATATTTTTTTCTTAACGAAATTCACATTTTTTCTTCATGCTTCCAAAGATGATGCTAAATATTCTGAAAAAAGGTAAAAAATTTTCAAGCTTATTGTCAAGTAAGACCATTGAAAGGCAATGGAATTGACTAAAGTAGACATATTAAATTTTCATTTTTTAAATAAATAAATATTATTTTATTTTCCGAAAGACCATAAATTTATTAACGAATGTATTGTCATTTAAATAATCAATTGTTTGTATGTAACTTATCTATGAATCATAATATTAAAGGAACGTTTTTTATCCAGACCGTCAAACGTGATCATGGGTTTTATAAATTACCAATAAACTATCCGAGAGTTCAAAAAGTTATCAGTCTCGTTCAAAGATTTCTAACGTCCTTCTTTTGACCCCTAAATTTTGAATCCCGCATGCACTCGTTTTTTCCTGTTCACAGGATAGTTTGGCGATTCAAAAAATGGTGGTGGTAACGAGTATCAAAAGTTCCACGCGACGCGGGCGCATTATTTCTAGAAATTGAAGGGTAATCGTTTTGCAAAGATCAGGTAATCTATTAAAACAATTTTTCTGATCCGTTGGACGAGGTGGCAGAGATTTAATTATTACTAAAATAGTTCGTAATATCGTTAAACGGAGATGCTTCCTACTAGTCTCATTTTTGTTTATTTGATTGTTTTACTTTTCGTCATTTTAGTATTATTTTCTATTTTAGTATCAAATCTATTAATAAAAATACAAAATACACAAAATCTCAATAAATAAAAGTTAACTTGAAACGCCTGGATTTGAGTCACGTTTCGCAGATAAATAGTCATTTTAGTATTATTTGCTATTTTAGTATCAAATCTATTAATAACCAGAAGAATTTATAATTACGGGATTTTTTTTTTTTCCTAATTTGAGAAAAATACACCCAATCTATTAATAACAAGAATTTATAAATTTTTTTTTCCTAATTTGAGAATACAAGACCCTGAAATCCCTGAATTTGATCGCTATTGTTATAATACAGGATTTCCTAATTTGAGAAAAATACACCTAATTAAGGAAAAAAAAAAATCCCGTATTATAAAAATAGCAAATAATACTAACGAACAATAATAAATTTCTGAAACGCTCCTGAATCCTCCTGAATTTTGAGTCACATTTTATTTATTGATTGTTTTACAACTTCAAATTCAGGGGGTTCAGTACAAAATATTTATTAGAAGTCTTTTTCACATTTTCACATTTTCTTCACTTAATCTTTTCACCGTTATTACAATTAAATACATAAAAGATCCGGGTACTATACACTAAAATTGCACACGAACCATATTATCGTTTATTAAAGTTCAACTTACAGTAGTTATAGTTCTCAGCTTCTTCGAAATAAACCGCGAAATAGATTCCACAGCCCCTAGAAACCAAATGAACAAGTCAATCGTCATAGACTTTGTTAGGGAAATCCCTCGTATGGACATTATATCGCGTTGGTTTCAAGACGCTTTTATCGTAGTGATCGGACATGGCCTCGTGGTATATCTCTGGCAAAAGAGAATGTGTGAATTCATTCTGAATTCACGTAAACGACCAAACGGGCAGGTCCCAAAAACGCGTTCATGATCCTATGACGCTATGCCCTGGGATGGGGCCGGTGAACTTTCCGGGCTTGCTAGTCAAGCCTGGAAACATCAATCGCAAAGGGGAGGAAAATTTAACTGTCCCAGCAAACGAGGATGATTTATAACGACCAAACGGGCGGGTCCCAAAAACGCGTTCATGATCCTATGACGCTATGCCCCTGGGATGGGGCCGGTGAACTTTCCGGGCTTGCTAGTCAAGCCTGGAAACATCAATCGCAAAGGGGAGGAAACTTTAACTGTCCCAGCAAACGAGGATGATTTATAATTCATGTAGACGACCAAACGGGCGGGTCCCAAAAACGCGTTCATGATCCTATGACGCTATGCCCCTGGGATGGCGGTCGGTGAACTTTCCGGGCTTGCTAGTCAAGCCTGGAAATATCAATCGCAAAGGGGCGGAAAATATATCTGTCCGAGCAAACGAGGATGATTTATATATAATAATATTTGGATCGCATTTAAGAAAATCGTTTGGAAAAAATCTTTTATCCTTGCCTCCTTGGAGTTGACCAGCTTTATGAGAAAAATATTATGCATGAACAGAATCAATCATCAATCTTCAGAAAATTTCGGTCAGATACTTGTTTTGCTTACTATGTGTAATGTTTCGGCGAAACCCAAATTTGGAAATATTTTAGGCAAAAATAGCATTTTATCATTACTAATATTGATAATTGTGATTTTATATAGAAAGTAATTATCAATATTAAATTAAAAATATCTTGGAAAAATTAAAGGAAGAAACGTGCAATAAGGAAGTGGGAAAATTTGTAAATGAAATGAATAGGATCGTGGATGGATTGCAATACAATGTCACTGGTTAAAATTAGAATCTCGTCAATGTAAATTAAAAATCGACATATTTAAAACGATTTTATATTATTTTTTTCTGGGGGTTTTTTTTTATTTTGTGAGAGAGAAATCAATTTGACGAAGAGGAAGCTTTTAGCTCCTCGTCAAATGTTATTCATCGGAATTAAGATCGCATTTAGCGAAACTCGGTGAAAAAAACTAAACAACAAAAATCAATTCTGATATATATATTAATATAAATATAAAAAATAAATTAGCTTTATTAATTTAATTAACAGATTTTACTTATACTGTTATAATAATATATATATTACTTTAATTTCAGAAAAAAAATTTATAAAATCAAAATAAAATTAATAATTAAAGTTTAATCGAAGAACGCGATTTTTTAACAAGTGCGAGTCATCTAACGGTTGTTGTTTTTGAAAGTTTGGTAAGTGGTTTACAAAGTTGATAGCAGGCTTGCTTCAAAACAACGAAAATGACGACACCCGAGACCAGTCAAATAGTTCATTTAACCATTTGAAATATATATACAGTAAATGCGAAAATTTAAAAACAAATTTGATTGGTTAACCTGTTCTATTAACTTTGATTAACCAGTCATTAACCTTTTTTAACAAAAGAAATTCAAGTTCTAGCATACATCATACATGACGTGTTTGATTTTATCTAAGTGCAAACATATACACTTTGTTGGAGATCGGTTTTTGATTCTGAAATGCAAAGGCTTGTTTACAAGTAAATTTTTTTTGAGGTTTCAACACGTCTTACATAATATCTTATGTATGTATTCTCATATCCTTCTCATAGAGAGATTACCTACTATATTAATTAGTGGATGAAATCTTAGTAAACGCCAGGTTCGAGACGATATTAAAGTTGATATTGACGAAGAAGGACGTCAAATTTCCATCTTTAATAACGGAAAAGGAATCCCTATTGAAATGCATGAGGATGAAAAAGTCTCAACTCATTTTTCGCAGCTTCAAATTATGATGATGAGGAAAAGAAAGTTTCCGGTGGTCGTAATGGTTTCGGTGCTAAATTAGCAAATATATACAATTCTGAGTTCATTTTGGAAACAGTTTCAAATGGCAAAAACTTTCAAGAACAATATGATCGTAATCGACAACTAATTCTCATTACCTGTTCTGAAAATGCTTGTGACTACACGTGGGTCATCTTTAGATCCGATCTTCAAAAATTTAAGATGACTCGGTTTGATGATGACATCTTCTCCCTCTTAGCATACGATTTGGCGGGGTGTGTTAAAGAAGTTCAAAGTTCTTGAATAATGAACAGTTAATTTTAAAAAATACTTGCAATTTATGTGAGTGACGCGAAGACTTGCTTACAATCTTCATTAGTGATAAATGTGATGACCGATGGAAATTTGGGGCCCTTCCTTCCTATGATTCTCAATTCCATCATGTAAGTATTTTGTTCTTTTTTTTCCTTGATCTTGCTTTAAACGGTTATGTGAAATTCGTATAATTCTAACATTATTTCGTTATTCTTTATTCAAAAATAATTGATAAGTTTAGTTAAGAAATATGTACTACGAAAGGAGATACCCACGTTAATTACATCGCAGATCAACTTGCTGAAAGAATCATAACAGCGGTCAAAAATAAGAATAAGAACGCAAAAAAATAAAAAAGAACCACATCAAAAATCATATGTGGATATTTGATTGAAAACCCATCCTTCGATTCTCAGACGAAAGAAAATCTTACATTAAAAGCCACATCATTTGGATCTACATGTGATCCAAGTGACTCCTTCATAACAAACATAAATATTCACATATCATTTAACTTTTGTTTTATACTTTAAAATATATATACAATTGACCCTTTGATTTTCTCCTATATATTAGTTCTCAAATGTGGTATCATTGACCAGCATTCCGGATGAAGTTAATTATAAATTAAATAAAGAATTAAAGAAGACAGACGGAAAAAGTGCAAGAATTAAGTAAATTGATTGTTGGGGGATTGATAAAAAAAATTTTTGTTAATTAGATTCCAAAATATCATTTAATAGAATCACTGGTATTTTTGAAATTGGAAGATCTGGCGGTAGAAATGCTAAGGACTGTACTTTAATCCTACGGATCAAGATCATCGATGGAAGCCATATAAAAGGATCGATAATCAATTTCTTTGATCATTTCTTTCCCTCCTTGCTAAAGTTTCCGGATTTCTTATGTGAATTCATCACATCAATCGTAAAGGTATGAAACCATTAATCACGATAATAAACAAAATAATCGTGAGATCCAATAATAATGTATCAAATTTATTAGTATACGAAGGGTGTCATTCTTTACCATGCCTGAATATGAAAATTGGAAGAAAAAGACCCAATGAAAGGTCAAATATTACAAGGTAATTTCTTTATAGATAATTTTTACAACAAATTGACTTTACTAATACTGTCGTAATATTATTCTGTTTCTAGGGTCTTGGCACTTCTAATACCCAGGAAGCTAAAAATTTTTTAAAAGTCTAAAGCGTCATAAAAATCTTTTAGAACTCTTCAAGAAGATGAACGGGAGAAAGTTGATCGATTTGGCCTTTAATAAAAAGAAAGCTGATGATCGCAAGAAATGGTTAAGTAATTATGAGGTGTGTATAGATTTTTTTCTGTTTCCAATCAGAATGTAACCTCTTTAACGAAAGTCCCACATTCCAAAAAAATTTATATTTCAGCCCGATACCTACATGAATAATGATTAGGAAGGAATCACGAAAAAAAAATTTATAAATAACTAGTTGATCTTGTTCAGTCAAGCCGATAATGAACGTTCGATTCCAAATGTTCTCGACGGATTAAACTCGGTAGAAAAAAGGTTTGTACACGTGCTTAAGAAAAAGTACAAGAACGAAATTAAAAGTTTCTTCGTTAGTCGGGGCTGTGATGCAAGTCTTCAAGATACAATCATCGCAGTGGCTCACGATCTTATCGGTTCAAATAACATTAATATCTAGGTCAATTTGGTACAAGGGCTCAAGGAGGAAAAAGCGCTCGTTATATCAGCGTTACATGCCCGCATTGACTCGAAAAATATTTCCCTTAGGACTCATTACTAACATATTGTAATGATGGCAGTCAGCTGGTAGAACCTGAATGGTATTTCTAATTCTGCCAATGATCCTAGTTAATGGATTCGAGGGTATCGGAACTGGTGAGTTTATTTAAAAACCAGCATATTAAGTATTTCGCAAGACGAATAATCATCTTGATTTATCTTATAATTTTTAGGCTGGAGTTTATTTATTCCAAATACAATCCTCGCGATATTGTTAACAATTTTAAAACGATTAATTAACAATGAAAAGCCAATTCCAATGCATCCCTGGTATTGTGGGTTCCAGGTAACATTATTAATAATCATTTAACAGAATTCTCTAACGGACTTTTGAATTCCCCATATCTTAAATTATTATTTCATATAATATATATGGTGAAGTTGAGCAAGTAAGCAATGCAGATACAAAATCAATGGCAAGATCCACCAAATTAACAAATGCATCCGTCCGAATTACCGAATTATCAATTCGTTTATGGACTCAAAATTACAAAGAAACGCTTGAGCTGTGGATATCCGAACAGATAAAGTTCCCAAGCTGGATTCTCGTACGTAAATATTTATGTAGCTAATCTGCCTTAGAAATTTTTTAATATTCTATTAAATTATTTTTATAAATACTAGGAGTACAAAAAAAAACCATACAACCACCACCGCAAAACTATCGCGAATAAGTCTAAGAGATCCTTTAAAAGAAGGACTTGAAAGATGATTTTAGATGCGCACGACCATCGGAACGTCGAACATGGTTTGTTTCGATGGCAAGGGTCGTATTCGAAAATATAATTCTCCCTAAGAAATTCTTCAGGAACTTCAAACAGGCTCAAATATTAGAAGATGAAGGTTCGTATTTATATTAATATCATATCATCATCTTAGTATTAATTTAATTTGTGGAGTATGATTCTAATTTTATAATTATTAAACTTTTTAGGCTCTCATGATAAAAAATACTTGATGCCGAAGTTACCATGAACAAGAATAAAGTCATATTGATTAAATGAAGGCCGATGGTAGTCTTAAATTGAAGGCCTTTCGCGTATTGAGGCTATTGTTTCTTATAGTCCGATGGATTTGAAAGATTTACGGACGATAAAGATAACGATAAGTATGATAAGGACGATAAGGGTGCAACCGATATGTTTCTCATAATAATCATGGATATGGTTATTTGATGGGTTTTTCAGTGTGGAAATTTTGTAAGAAAATGTAAGTATTCTGATATAAAATTATTGTTTTATTCTGCGAATTAAGAATAACTTTTTATAAGTTTATTCTTTTTCGTATTAGGAGCAAAAAAATCTTGAAGATAAAAGTCGTGTAAGGAAAAGAACTTAGAGAAACACCCAACAGATGTGGATAGAGAATTTAGATTGTTTTATTGAATCTTGTGATGTAAGCTGTGAATTTATATATATACATACATATTTATTTATTTTACTAAAAACTATAATAATAATAATACTGAAATCATTATACCTACTAAATCAGAAACGAACATTATCAATTGATGAATCGGTTGACGACATTGTGGGAAGGAAACGACCATTACTCATTGGATCGGTTGATGACGTGGAGAGTGGAAACGATCATATTATCCATTGAATCGATTGAAGATGTGTGAGAAAGGAAAAGATCATTGTCAATTGATGAATCGTTTTGATAATAAAGACTTTCATGACCTTTACGAAGATATTGAAGAAGTAAGTAAGGTGCTTCATTAATTCAAAAAGTTAATGAAAACATTGATAAAAGGTCGAAAAATAATAAGGTAAAAAAGAATGTTATAATTGAATATTTCACGCCTGTTATTGTCGACATGTGGATTCTGAGGTCTCTTCCGTCGATCAACCGCAAAGTAAATAAATTATTTGTCGAATTTCCTAAAGGTACGACCTTAAGGTAAAAGATTTTCACATGGGAAGTTATCAATAATAAAACGAGAAAATTTTGTGTTCGATTTAATTAGAAATCGGAAAAAAATTTATTTAATATCGCTCTGTTACAATTTAAATAAATATGCAGTTATTTTGTCAAAGAATAATCGTGGTATTTTTTCTTTTTAAATTGCAAAAAACAATAGGTTCAAAGTCCATATCATCAGAAAAACATCATCTAACTACTACCAAATAATATAATTGATCACGAGACATTCGTAAGTTCTCAATAAAACCGAATCGCCACAGAAAATTTCGCCCGATACAGAAATTCTTTCTTCACAAACCCAAGGTTTGACATTAAAAATTTATTCTATCCCGGAATCTCGCACACATAACACAGCACATTTTCGCGCGGTTGTTGGTCCGTTATTTTTGAAAAGTTCTCAATAACAACACAACAATTTCTATTAGCTCCTACAAGTTCGCTGTATCCAAAGGTGCCAGAGTCGTACCTCAATAATTCTCCCATGGAAAATGTCGCCTTAACGAAACCTTTGTGAATAATTTCTAATAATGTGATAGGTCTAGTTTTAGTTATATTATACTCTTATTCTATAAGTTTAGGAATAAGATATACAGTTAATTTTTGTTATAATGAACTCTATATTCTAGATCTCAATTTCGCTATAAGGCTATAATAAAAATTTTATGAGATTTTATTGGCCAATTCGCTATAACAAAAGTATTTTTATTATATTTGTTCAAAAATTGTTATATTAAGAGTTCGTTATATCAAGAGTTGACTGTATGTATATAATTTTTCATTCATTGGGGATATCTCTTAGGATGAAATACATACAAATGAATTTTCAAAGTAATTATTAAGCTTATCATACTTAAATGAAAAAGTATTTTGTTAGTGATTCCTGAGAGATTAGCAGCTTTATTTCTTGATAGTAATCTGAGAATAGAGATCCATTTCTCATATATGAGTGATTGCTTCAAGTTAAAATATTGTGAATTATTCACATAATCTTTGGATTAGAATTATTTAAATTATCTGAAAGATATAGAAGGAGTAGATGTTGTTAGGAGTATAAAATTCTGAAAGTGATTACTATTAGCAGCTTTAATTTTATC